AGTATGGAATACCCTAATAAACTAAAGAACTAAAAACTTGAGGACTCCTTAACTTTCTTGCTGAACTGAGCCCAAGGAATGTCCCACAGAATCTCTATGCTGACAGTGACTGGAACTCCTTCCAGAGATTAAAAGCTACACACAGTCAGTGACTTTTCTTCACTGGAGTCATTTACTCACACTTCCACAGAATCATTGGTTGCCTCTTTCTGACATCCACCAGGCTCGCCTCAGTGAGGAAGATTCAGACTCACTACACTATAAGACAGCTGGAATCTTTCTCAACAACTTCCTCCTGGCTCTCTCCAGTGAGCGTCTCTAGACCCGACTTGATTCCAGGACTTGAAGCTTGAAAATAGGCCCCAACTAAGCATAGATGGGACCTCAGTGTCTTCCTGATGACTCCTTCTATCGTTCTGCCCCAGGGGGAAGAGCTCCTGTATGAGTTTTCCTCCAGTAGAAATGGGCCCAGGAACTCTGCACCAGCCGAATCAGGCCTCAGACTATTTAAGGGCTCTCCAATCACCTACTGGGCACACGTTCCTAGGGATTGGCTGGAGTCCCATTAATATTCTGGCTGCCCACTCTGTTCTTCCTCCCACTATAATTCTATAAGGGCAGCAGGGCATCAGCCTGTAAGACACTGAGCAGCCCTAAATAATCAACCCTTGCTCATCTAAATTACAGTGGAGCCAACTAAATTTACCTACCAGCCTACTCTAGGACAGTGTTACATACATTCATTAATGATTTTAATGAACACATAGCTGCATTATCTGGTGTTTCTATATCTCCCTGGAATTCAGCTTTAACATAGATAATAGCAACTTAGACAGCCTCAGTTATGAAGGACAAGTGACTTGCACTTTATCATGGACTGATTCTGTTAGGTCTCTCATGAATTATAAAACATTCTCTGAATGTGCAACGGCTGAGCAGTGTTGTAGTTTTTACTACGTTCTTTGAACAGCCCCTGATGTCCTCTTTATGAGAGAGCCGCCTTTGACTGTCCTGGGGACCTGCGAGCAAAGCGGAACAGCACCACACAGCAGACAGACAATATGTAATCAGACTTCTTGGAAATATTCAATCACCCGTAACGTTTGACTTTTGTTTGTTTCTAGAGGGAAATTAATGCTTATTTTTTTTTCTGATTACCTCTTATCTCTTTAATTAAAGATCGCAACACGATCACTTGCAATGAAAGAGGGGAAAATGAATATTTGTTTAGTTTATAGAACACAAATGTTTAATTCACATTCAGCCGTAATAGATATTATTTCTCAATTGACTGACCAAACTCTCAGCGCCAACATACCGGTGATTTATCCGGCTCATTGCGGTGTTTTAACCCTGTGAGCAATGTGTGCATTTCCCAATTCAGCAGAACAGAGATGTACGTCTGCATAAAAAAGTATTAAAATTATAATTAAATTCTGCAACAAATGAAGTAATGTGTAAAGAATCTTAGTAATTACATTAGAATCCCACTGTTAGCATGGGTTCCAGCCTGAAGAAAAACATCACCATAAAAAGTTATGATCCATTGTGTGCAGTTCAAAAACACTGTATGGATATATGTTTGTGGACACTTGACCATCACACCTATACAAGCTTGTTGAACATCCTATTTCAAAACTATGGTCATTAGTATGGAGTTGGCCTCTTCTTGGCCACTAAAACAGCCTCCACTTTCCTAGGAAGTCTTTCTAAAAAATTTTGACATGTGCCTGCAAGCCCATTTATCTCAAATCTAGGATCAGCTATAGACAGGGCCTATTTCATACTTCTTTTCCCCCAAGCCACCTGTTTAGTAAAGTTCCACTAACCCAACTGACTGACTGAGACTGAAGGCGAACTACACTATATGGCCAAACTTTTTTAAACATCTGACCATTACACCTATAAGAGCCGGTGGACCGAGCCATTCTCAGGCTGCTGTTTCCTGGGGACAGACCTCTTACAACAAGATCTGTCCCCAGGAAATGGGGACTAATGTCCAGCCTCCCTCAAAACTCACTGACCCACCTGAACTTCAAAGGGTGTTAATCACATCAACTGTATGTTATGTGGAGTCTCATCTGGATTAGAAAGGGTTAGCTGTAGAGCCCTTCCTTCTGCACAATAAATCTTGGGACTCTGGAATTCCTCTGCAGTAGTTACTATGTTGTTCAGACCTATAAGAGCTGATTGACATTGCCATTCCAAAACCATGGACATTAGTATAGAGTTAGCCCCTTCTTAGCTGCAATAACAGTCTGCGCTCTCCTGTGAAGGCTTCCCAAAAGATTTTGGAGTGTCTATTGGAATTTGTACTCATTCACCCAAAAAAGCATTTATGAGATTGGGCCCTGATGTTGAATGAGAAGACCTGGCTCCCAATCAGCATTACAATTTATCCCAAAGGTGCTTGGTAGGATTGAGGTCAGAACACTGTGCAGGCCACTCAACTTCCTCCACACAAAACTCATTAAACCATGTCTTTATGGAGCTTGCTTTGTGCACCTGAATTCAATATTTTGGAGGGGTGTCAACTTAGGTTTGGCCATATGGGGTAGGAGTATGAGCTAAAGCAGTACCCATTAAATGGATAAGAGAAAAAGAATGGGTTAACTTCTTTTTGTTTTGCAAAAAAAGAGAGGGGTCTGTCAGTAGAGGTTGTTCACTTAGCAAACTAAATGTTCACGTCCCACAGTGAATGTTGGTCAATATGGTCAACCCTGAAAATGGTGAACCCTGTTCACCCTGAATACCCAGTCTTACACAAAAGAAACTTAAAAACTGGATTGTTGCTTGCACGTTACTGACCAATTGAATCTGAACAGTCTCTATTTTTTAGAAAATCCTCCCCCCATACATTTGAAAAGAGAGAAAAGGCATTGTCTGGCCTACCACTGATTGGTGAATACCTGTGGGAGAAGATTGCTGTATGCAGACTTCTAATGACCAATCAGGAGTTTGGAATTTGTGATAATGGGAAAAGTTTTGTTCAATTAGGTGTGTTGAAGTGGGTTCAATGACAGTTATCCTCTGAGGAACATGCCCTCCCATACTCCCAGATGCCTGGTGCTTCATCAATACACTGGGACCACCAAAGCAACATGGACAGGACAGGGACAGGGACAGGGAGGATCTGTTGTTGAATGGAAATGCATTGCATGAAGTTTCTGATCTGTCCAGAACCTACAGAATCTTGATAATTTCATAGATAGGCTTTAATTTTAATACCATCCAACACTGTTCCCAACTCCTGTTGGATTTTCTATAGGAACATATGGCAAATGTCATCACAAGAGAAGAAACTGGAAGTTCAGCTCACCACCATGCCCTGGTGGCCTCCAGGACTAGAAGTCTCCTCAATGGTGACATCAATGAATACCTGACAGATGTTCTGACCCTTCTTCATACTATCCAAAAACTAAAAAAAAAGGTTACAACTGGAGTCTCATCTTCATTTCATTCTGAAAACATTTATTTTTCATTTTTAGTACGAAAAAAAATGGGGACGCAGATAAACAACACAGATAAACAGCTTTTCTCTTGACATACATATTATTGATTTTTGTGTTTAGATTGGAATCTACTTTAGGTACATTTTCAGGAATAAAAGCAGCATAATAGACTTCTTTTTTATATGTGTTTATAATATTCTGTTATGTAACAAAGCATTTATGTTAAACAGCAGCATTATGCAAATATGATTTTTACCTAAGCAATTTAGACCTTCTTTTTGTGCTTTGATTGTTTTTAGGTATTTTTCACTTGCAAAGAATTGTTCATTGCTATGTTGACATTCCCACATATGCTATATTGCCAAAAGTATTGGGCCAGCCCTCCAATTCATTAAATTCAGGTGTTCCAATCACCTCCATAGCCACAGGTGTATAAAATCAAGCACCTAGGCATGCAGACTGCTTCTACAAACATTTGTGAAAGAATGAGTCGCTCTCAGGAGCTCAGTGACTCCAAGCGTGGTCCCGTGATAGGTTGCCACCTGTGCAATAAGTCCATCCGTGAAATTTTTATGCTGCTAAATATTCCACGATCAACTGTTAATGGTATTATAACAAAGTGGAAGCAACTGGGAACAACAGCAACTCAGCCATTAAGTGGTAGGCCACGTAAAATGACAGAGCAGGGTCAGCACATGCTGAAGCGCGCAGAAATCACCAACTGTCTGTAGAGTCAATAGCTAAAGGCCTCCAAACTTCAGGTGGCCTTCAGATTAGCACACAACAGTGCGTATAGAACTTCATGAAATGGGTTTCCATGGCCGAGCAGCTGCATCCATAACTTACATCACCAAGTGCAATGCAAAGCGTCAGATGCAGTGGCGTAAAAAGCACACCACCACTAGACTCTAGAGCAGTGGAGACGTGTTCTCTGGAGTGACGAATCACTTTTCTCTGTCTGGCAATCTAATGGATGTGTCTGGGTTTGATGGTTGCCAGGAGATCGATACTTGCCTGACTGCATTGTGCCAAGTGTAAAGGGGGGATTATGGTGTGGAGTTGTTTCTCAGGTGTTGGGCTTGACCCCTTAGTTCCAGTGAAGGGAACTCTTACCGTGTCAGCATACCAAGACCTTTTCGTCAATTTCATGCTCCCAACTTTGCTAGAACAGTTTGCGGATGGCCCCTTCCAAAGCAAGGTCCACAAAGACATGGATGAGCGAGTTTGGGGTGGAGGAACTTGACTGGCATGCACAGAGTCCTGACCTCAACCAGATAAAACACCTTTGGGATGAATTAGAGTGGAGACTGCGAGCCAGACCTTCTCGTCCGACATCAGTGCCTAACCTCACAAATGCTGTTCTGGAAGAATGGTCCAACATTCCCATAGACACCCTCCTAAACCTTGTGGACAGCCTTCCCAGAAGAGTTGAAGCTGTTATAGCTGCAAAGGGCGGGCCAACTCAATATTGAACCCTACAGACTAAGACTGGGATGCCATTAAAGTTCATGTGTGTGTGAAGGCAGGCCGACCAATACTTTTGTCAATATAGTGTATATTGTTCTTCCATTGAGCGCCACCTAAAGCAAAAATCTCATTCTTGGGTAAAGTTACCAGATTTTGAAAATGAAATCCGGAGACACCCGAAAGACCACAACCACTTTTAAAACCACACACACAAAACTCCACCATTGGTAGCCACACTCACAAAATCACACCTCCATTTTTAACACACCCCAAATCTTTTAGTCACAGACCTTTGGAACAAGAAGTAAGTTGTTCAAGGTAGGGCAAAACACTTTGGTCAGCAAGAACAAAGGAAAGATGCAATGAATTGTGAGTGTGGACAAATTGCGGTTACAGTGGAAGGGGCTTAAAGGGGTAAGGTTAAATAAAACCTGAGCCTGTGTAAGAGTACGTAATGTACAGCATGCAGAGTTCAGACATAAGTAATGCACAAAATAGAGGTCAGGAGTAAATAATGCACAGAGCGCACAGGTAAAAAGTAAGGAAAGCATGGAGTGCAGGGGTCAGAAGTAAGTAATCACAGAGTGCAATAGTCAGGAGTAAGTAAAGTACAGATTGCACGGGTCAGGAGTAAGTAAAGTACAGATTGCAGGGGTCAGGAGTAAGTAAAGTACAGATTGCAGGGGTCAGGAGTAAGTACAGCACAGAGTGCAGGGGTCAGAAGTATGTAACACATAGATTTCAGAAATCAATAATAACACACAGATTACAGGGATCAGGAGTAAGTAATGCACAGATTGCAGGAGTCAGGAGTAAGTAATGCACAGAGTACAGAGGTCAGGAATAAGTAACCCAGTTTTTCTTTAATGGGTTGTTAGAACTATGTACCTGGTATGTAATGGGTGGTATGCCCCTACAAGGGTTGAGGCACTTTTTAATGTTTTTGTATACTCTTTTTGAAAACGCAATAACAGGATTTGGGGAAAAAAAGTAAACCATGAAATACTGGAGTCATTAGGAGGTATCACACAGAGTGCAGGGGTCAGGAGTAAGTGTCACACAGAATGCAATGGCCAGGAGTAAGTAAAACACAGTGTCAATAAACAAAGTGCAGCGCTCCTCAATACACAATCTCATGTGCAGTATATTTAAAATATATTTTACGTTGTTTCTTTGACTTGGTGGCTCACAGGTTTTTCCAGTCAAATCCCTAGTGTCTTTCTATTACTTCCCTCTTTTTTGCAAGCACTCATGGTATTTTCCTCGTGAGTCTGGCAGTGAAGCCTAAATCTTGCAGTATGTAGATGGCAACTCAGCCACAAATGTCAATTGAAAATGTAGCACTACCCTCGTAAGGGGCTTCATATGAATCCTCCCCTTCACCCAGCTGTGCTGAGGGTATCCCTGAGCAAAAGGGTCCCAAGAGCTTGCAAACAAGCAGACCCAGGTGAAAACAAGTTGGGTATTACACCTGACTGTCCTTTCCCCTTATCCAACCTAAGAGGTGTAGGAGTATTCACACTGTCCTCCCTTGTCCTGTCAGCGTGGTGGGTTGGTAGCTGCTTTCAGGCCTTTCGCTGGGCTGGCTCCTTCCCTACTAACAGGTGGATGTTCCCTGGAAGACAGGTAGATCTTCTCTGCTACCAAGGAGATGTTGAGGCCACTAAACGCTAATCCAAAAACACAAACAAAAGCTGAAAAAATCATGTTTGTAAAGTGACTTAACACAGCTAACGTTACCAGCATTATCAAAACACCCCGTGTGCATGAAGGCTTAGAGTTAATCCGCGCCCACGGGCAGACTGGAGACACCCCTAGATTGACTGGTGATTTGATCTCACACACCTTATATTAAGTCCAGGAGCAGCTAACAGTTTTGTAGGCTCTGAGGAAGAGCATAAGTCCTCAAAACGCGTTAGCCTTTGGTTGTTCTATCGTTTTCTCACATCTTGATGACTGTGGACAGTTTTTGCTGTAGGTACGGCTTGTTCTGGTGGGGGTATCTGCGGTGGTGTCTCTGAGTAGGTGATCTTGCTGCTGGAGGCCTAGTTAAGCAGGACACAGATATTCGTTTTCTTGATGCCTATTGGGACCTTGAAAAAACATATGTATATACTGTGTTTTCTGTTATTTAAAATGTTATTTATTGATGGTTGTAATAAAAGGCCAGTTTTGGGCCATTAACTCCATTTTGTTGTTAATGTGGTTACTTAGGTTAAGGATGGGGGGGTAGGTATTGTTTTAGTGGGACTTTACAAGCCATCTTTAGCCCCCTGGTCATGATGATGCAAATCATGAATAATACAATTTGCACCATTCCCAAGGAATACAATAACCGCAATAACTGTCAACCTATCTGAAACAAAATGTAAAGACTGCCTTAAATAGAGCCTAAATGACTGGTATTTAGTGTGTGAAAGGACTATGTATCAGTATCGATAATACCTGCATCTACTGTTCATTGTGTACTGGCCATCAGACCGCATTCCTGACCTGCAATGTGTTCTCACTTGGGTGCCCTTGGTGACATTGACAACCAACAGTTTCCAGTCTCTTAAAGGGTAATAATATCCTGAAACAAGTTTTTAGTGTGAAACATGTCACTCTTTAGCATGACTTTTGTTCCTGACACCAGGGTGGAAATATCCAGCATTGCTATTATGATAAATACTTCCTTCTCCACCACTGGCAATGTCAGATCACCTGCATGAGGGGAGGAGGGGGGCTGGCCTCTTTATCGTCTCTTTCTGCTGAGGTTGTTTTGTCAGTGGATGAAGAGTTCTTCCTGTGGTCTAATGAGGGATTTTTTTCAACACAACCAATAATATCTACCTGCATGAACATGTCTTCACTCCGTGCTGCAGGTCAGGAGTTCAGTGTTGTCCAAGCAAGCCCAAAGCATTGTGGGTACTGCAAGCCAAGCATGACATTTTTTTCTTGTTTCTCATTTTTTTTTACGCATATCAATAAGCATATCTAGGAAAAACAGGCTTAGCTCTTACAAGAAGATCCATCAATGGTTGGCCTTGGTCAGTTTGTTTAACTCTTTGTTCTACATAAAAACTGTATATGCTTTTAACCAGCATTGTGATAAATAAACTATATGTAAAGTGAATTAAAAATAAATCAGCATCGGGAACAGCATTTACCATGAATGAAAAGTGTTCCGTGTGCTGGTAGCTGCTGCGTTAGGTTGGAATGGTCATTTCTCTTGTGGGTGGGTGCACAGTGGTGGACAACTCTGAACTCCTGACCTGCAGCACGGAGTAAAGACATGTTCATGCAGGTAGATAATATCGGTTGTGTTGAAAAAACTCTCTCGTTAGACCACAGGAAGAACTCTTCATCCACTGGAAAAAAACCTGAGCAGAAAGAGACGATAAAGAGGCCAAATCCCCCCCAACCTCCTCCTCTCCCCATGCAGGTGATCTGACATTGCCGGTGGTGGAGAAGGAAGTATTTATATTCAGTCCAGGAGCAAATAATGGAACTTGTATTGCAGTCAGTGGAAAACCGTGCACAACAAGCCCCACAGACTGAACCCCAAAACGGATAGCAGTGTGTAGCGGAGCAGGTCTCTGGAGGGGTGGAATACGACCTGGCCCAAGTGGAAAGGCTTCCTAGAAGAGTGCCAGGTCCTTAAGCTTTCCCTACTCATCTGGAACCTTTCCCTACTGCTAATATTGACCCTAACAGAGAGGTGACCTTCCCCATGCTACGCACATGCTGAAAGCGCTCAAAACCCTGGAGCCAGGGTCTTAAGTATGATTTGCATGACCCAAGGTGGTCACCTGGGTCTCATGGGCTGTCAGCATCCAACTGGATCATTGCCCCAGTGACCCAGGAAACCATAGAGGAACCATGTTCCTCCAGCATTCCATCACATAGGCCACTACCGCTCTTGATGTCAACTACACATCTCACAACTAGGAAGTGGCCTATGTGATTCCCAGCACCGGAGTGTTATATCGATAAGCACTTTCTGTTTTTAATATTGCAAGTCCATAATACATTTTAAAGAAATACTTTTCATACAGTTTTACTCTGTGGCTTTTCCAACTTTATCTCCATGTTATGGCAGAATATCCTTTACATGTGGTGCTCATGAGACCATAACTGGAGACCTGGAGGTGGTTTATGTCTTTACACACATGCACATGTGACTCTCTTTATTAATAAAGAGTCCACTAACTTCGGTAAGAGTCTTCTTACACTTGAGGTGGTGGTACACATAAAGGTGTTATTGGTGATTAGAACATCAACCGATTTAAAGATTCTTCATAGTTTTATTCACCATTTGGGACTGTTTTCACATGTGTGGGACAATCACTTTTATTATTTTTGTGTTGGCACTAGGATTTGCATGTTGACTGTTGTGATTAGGGTGGCATTTTTTGATTTACATTTCCTTCAATCTTGAACAGTTGTATCGGTTCCTCTTTTGTACTAAAATTGCTTACCATGATTTCACTGCACACTCAAAGTATCTCAAAGTATGCATTAAAAGCCCACTTCATTTCCTGGCTGAAGGACATCCAGCATAATTTAGTCTTTTCCTCCCCAGTTTGACTATCTCTAGCCACCCATTAAATTCAACATGGGCATGCCTAGGAGTGCTTACTCTTCCAGACTGATTTCCACCTATCACAGCCTTTATTTGCAATCCATATCCCCATTGGGGAGATTTCCCCTCACTTTCTGTCAGAACAGGAAATAAAGCAATGTTCTCCAGTTGGAACACAGACCACAACAAAAAAGGGCAGGTTTAGAACCTCTGTCGGATTATTTTTACTGCCTGTGTCTCCCTTTCCAGTGGCAACCATTCTTCTTTTTTCTTCCCCAGCTGTCACAGGAACAGGAAGTGAGGTAAAATCACCCTAATGGGGTCACAGATCTCAATAAAGGCTTGACAGAGGCAGGGCTTTTTTTTCAGCAGGAACAGGGGAGAATGCAGTTCTGGCACCTTTAGCCCTGAAAGATATCATGGCAAAGGGTGCTAGAGTGTGCTGCAGAGTCTCTTTGTAACGGAACCGGACCCAGACCACACTAGGGTATTTCCGTTATACTCTCGCTTCCCTGTCCGAACATCATCCACGGACCCAACC